GGGGGGCAGGGGTGAGCATTATGCTGATTTTAGAGCAGTTTGTAAAAAAATCCTTTCTTATCCTCATGTATTCGTTTGGCTAGAAGGAGATCGTAAAATGGTTCCCGGATTTGGAATGCTTCATGCACTTACAGAAGCCTGTTTGACCTCTCAAGTGTCCTAGGAAGCTAATATAGCACTTAGCCAAACAGCGTGCTAAAGTCTTCGTATTTTAATTCGCACAGTAGATCTATGTGGTGCGACAAAGATAGTAACATTACACCACGATTCACTCTCTAGACCAAGCATGGGCAAGCTACAAATAGTTTTTTGAGATGATAAATTATGGTCACTTTTGGTATCGAGGTGTGCACCAACTACAGTTAAGAAGAACAACGTTTCAGTTCAAGTTTCACGTATATTTAACCCCAAAAGAAATACATTTTGTACTTGTATCTTTTTAAAAAGGAACTAAATTATGTTATAAAGTGAAATACAGCGATCCTAGTGTCAAACGGCAAACAAATGCTAAAAAAACGACGAATCAAAGACAAAATAACCGCAGTGGTCACTTATGGTGCAGAAGTTATGAGTAGAAAGACATTTCCAAGGTCAAAATGCGATGTCAACAATCAACGTAGCAACCAGAATTTTTGGGAATGTGCACTACTTCCATCATTTCTTCTCAGCTGATAGGAATCCTTACACACTGACTTAACTAACCGTCAGTTGACAACGAAAACAAAGATGTAATATTATATAACAAGCTAGGTTTGTAAGGAACGCGCAAGACGAAAACATTCCTTTAAATAAGGTGATAAATTGTGACAAATCAAAGCTATTCCATCATGTTAAGTAATGAACGTGTTTTTAAAAGCTTTCAGAAACATAATGTTTATAAGAAGAATAGGTGTAAGATAGTTTTTGAGGTTCGTGTAAAATGGTTGATGAGTGAAATCCTGACGAATTTCAATTTTCTCAAAAGATTTGGGTTTAATTAGGAACATAGATCTACATGTTTAATATGGTAAAAAAACAACAACCAAAAACAAAAGCAATGATAATGATGATGATGATGATGATGATGATGATGATGATTACCTACTCGTATTACATTGTATTTAAACCCTCTGATCTAACTGGCAATTCTAAAAATTCAGTATGTTATAGCCTACACGTCTGCTTGACACCCCCCCCCCCC